TTTTATTTTTGTGAGGAATTATGGAAGAAACAAAGAATAAAAGGGAAGAAAAGAAAGAGATGAAAAGAGAAGGGAATTGTCACATTGATTTGCTTTCAACAAAAGAATTAGAATGACACAAAAAAGCAAGAAGAAAAATAAAAAAGCAGATTCCAGGATGATCAAGATTACAGGTAAGAATATTAATTATATTTTTTTATGAGATAGCAAATTACCTAACAGTGCATTGAAATATGTACTTTCCAAGCTATCTGGGGAATGGACAGAAATACAGTTATATTCATTCTCCTCCTGCAACCTTATGAGGCTTTTTCCCTGGGGCCAGTCAGTACCAATTGGAGCAGGTCTCATGATAGGTTGAGAAAACAATGGACAAACAAGTCTTCCAACAATAAAACAAAGCTTAATAACCTAACAATAGAGCTGCTGTACTTAAGCAGCAATCAAAAAGCAGACTTTGATTGATACTGTATTGCTGGTTCCCCAGTCTCTTCCCCTAGGTCTCAAGTTAGCTTTTTCTTACAATATTCAAATGACATACTTTAAGTAAACTGCCTAATTATTACATAATGTTCCCAGGGGGGGGGGGATATATTTGCTATACGGGGACGTGCCACTGGCCAGGGTATGGTTTTTGGCCTTGCTGTCTTAAACAGGGTATGTACTACATTTCACTCGAAATTGTCTTAAACAGGCTCTATAAACTAGATAAAAGACCGATATAATTTTTTTGTGTGTCTTAGATAACATTTTCATAAGAAATACCATGTGTAGAAATAGCAGAAATACCGTTTCACTGTAGCAGGATTAACGTGTTATCAAAAACTTCTTATTGTCTTTGATGGATGTCAGTATAATATTGCACTTTTGATGGTTGCGGCGCAGATACCTATTTTCCTTATTTATCCGATTTGTCTTGAACAGGGCATGGATTTTCACTTTCTAGTGTCTTAAACAGGGTCAGGGATTTAGACCGATTTAGACCGCTCCCCCCCCCCACCGGGATAAGGATGTGAGAAATTTGTCATTTGTATAATAATACGGAGGAGGGTAGGGTAGGGGTGGTTTTTGCTCCCTGTGAGCTGACCCGATGTGATTTTCTCGAGGGTAAAAGTCGATTTCACAGGGAGAGCCTTCTAACTCTTTTGTAAATGTTACATATCTAATCGAACTTGAACTCTGTTTATCAGGACATGGAAATAAGACTATAGTTTTTTTAGCTATATTTTTGTTTTGGTGGATTTTGGTATTTGATAATGACAGCAGTTCACAGCCTCAGGGGCTGAATTTTGTTTTGAATTTTTATAATTCCTTTGTACTTGTTCTAAGTACCTGTCGTCACAAATTGCTGTCTCTGTTGTTAGCATATAAAGGTATGCAATAAATTCCACATTTCGGTCAGGATATAATAATAAATTTATAATATTAGTAATACAGGAAAAGATTTGAAAGTTTCTTGTGTTGTTATACAACGTGACGCCCCGTGAATCTATTGTCCACTATTCTATAAGTCTCTTCCTTTTGTAACACCGACATCGCAGTGGCGAACATTTTTGACTGCAAAGAATTGTAAGATATTATCAGTATTGAATGGGTTTGTGCTTTCAATGTGGTTTGACATAATTTCAAAAGTAATCGCATTTTTAAAAATTTTATTTAATATCGGATTCCTACTTCATAAAAGCTTTCCTTAGCTTTAATATTTAATAGCAATTCTATGTGGGGAAGATAGCAAATTAGAAGCATCTTTTGGCTATTGTTTTGAGTGCTTATGATTGGACAATATCTTTTAATACAAAAGAAAGTTTGTTTCAGAATAGAGTTTATCCACATTTTAGTTTAAAAATGTGTTATACATAGGTTGATATATAATCAGTTTGAAAACCAAGACGTTCGAATGTGGGGAAGTTGGAATTGCCGCAGAATAGAAAGTTGCCTGCTTCTTGCGGGCATTGTTACTTAACTTCAGTGTAGTTTGCGTAACACAAGGTGTTGGGTCAATAACACCTGTCAGTTTTACTCACGATTGCATTGTCCTGAGTAAGGTCTTCATTGAAAACATGTTATATAAGTTTTCAGTAAGTTTTGGTGAAAAATATTAATCCTATTTTTGTTGATATTAATCCTTATGATGTTGTTAATATAGGAAAAGATTCGAAAGTTTTCGTCTGTTGTTTTAATAGAAATAACGTCACGCCCTTTGAATCTATTGTCTTCAATTCTTAGTCTCTTTGCAATGCCGATATCGCAGTTCCCTGCTGGCAGAGTCTCTCTTGTTGTAGTTCGCAGTGAAGAACATTTTTGACTACAGGGAATTGTTCGGGAATTGAGTTAAGGAGGATTAAGGAATACATTGCCGGATCGCTCTCGTATGTATTTGATATTTTGCAATAAGGACAGATTAAAATTTTTTTTATGATGGCTAGACCGCTGTTCAGTCACTAGTGCATACTAATGGATACAACTGTAAACAACGTCAGTTTCTTCTGAATATCGCAAGAAGATTGCCTACATCACTTGAATAATTCAAAAAAAATGTTTATTTTCTGTTAAGTTAGTTTTTTTTTGAACTTGTAAGCCAATATAAGCAATAATCGGTACTTCGTAGAATGTTATGGTCCATTACGCTGTGCACAAACAACTCCAAATTTGGTTTTGTTTTGCGATGTTATTGAACATAGAAGTTGAAGGTCACAGTTTCTATTTTAACGACATCCTAGCGACAAACAAATAGCTGTTTCTATTGGTGGGTTTGGTTTGTAGGAGTGTCTGTCGCAGCATCTATACCACGTCAAACCCATACTGAAGTCATTCAAACAGAAGAACAGAGAAGAAGAAACACACCTAAATAATTACTTCAGCTTATTTTTGATCAACACACCTTATTTCCGAAAGGAATCCATTCTGGAAACTTCATTCAGTAAGGTATTATCAACGTTTAATTAAACATAATTCAAAACACGATGACTTTTTGCGTAATATAAGGTTTTAGGTCGGTGATGCTGGTTTCAAAATGATATTGTCTTGTCTTTAAACAGCACCTACATTTGTTTTCATTGTTTTCTGGTGACAGATATTAATCTTTATCTGTTTTTGCTGCAGAAATATAATCAGTATGGCTACTGGATGGTCAACAATTACAAAAGAAAACACCAACTTTGCTCGATTGTGCAAATTACTCATCGATGGAGGAACTCATGCCCTTAGAGTCATTTTTGATGTCAAATATCCACCTCACGATCTAAAGAAACATTTGATGGACAGCAGGATTCATAATATCTTAAAGAATTTGAAGGCTAAAAAAATTCTACGATCAGAGCAGTGGAACAGACTGTATCCAAGTGTAGGATCGGCAACATCTGCAGGGTTTGACATAACTCTCTTAAGTTTACTGTTGCGCAATATCTGCAATTTGCCAGCACCTATCAATGGATGGGACAAGGATCCTGCATCAACAAGTGTTAACGTGGAAGACGATGTAGTAAGGCTGAGATTATACCGTAATAATCTCTATGGTCACATCTCTGAACCAGCTCTATCAAACGCTGATTTCAACAAGTACTGGAACGACATTGAAACTGTTTTGTTAAGACATGGTGTAAACAAGGCAGACATTGATAGTCTTAAGACACAATCCTTCGAACCAGAAGATGAAGACTACTACATCAAATGCTTAAAAGAATGGATCACTGATGAGGCTGATAGAGTAATCCATGAAGTAAAGAAAGTACTGGAAAAAGTGGAGAAAGTAGAGCACAAGCTGAACCAACTAAAACCGGAGCCATCAAAACCAGCTACACCTGAAGGTATGACAAAACATCGAATAGATTATAGTAGAACCACAGCTAGCTAATACATGTGAATTGATAAATTACTACTCAGACGAATGTCGATTGCGAAAAAAAAATAAATAAAATAAAAATAAAAAAAATAAAAATAAATAAATAAATAAAATAAAAAGAAAGAACTAATGTTTTTGTTGAAACACATTTGGAGATAAAAATCGTGTTGGTGTCGAAACGTCAAAGCTAGTTGTCTTGATTTTTATCTCGAAAAAGAAAGAAGTAACAATTATAGAGTGGATTTCATTAGTCAAAGTGTAATGCTGCATGATACACTAAAAAGACAGAAGAAAATCAGACAAAATAAAGACAGGGTATGAAAGACAAAATAAAAATGATCATAATAATTTGTAGAAATTATACGGCGCAATTAGAAATCACTAAACTGAGAATATGCAAATAATTAATGAATCGACGGTTTGCATAATTTTTATCGACATATACAGAAGGCGAGAACCAAAGAAATAAAAAAAGGAATTCAAGGGTGCATCGAAAAGCATAATAACAGTAACATTAAGCTAATAAAACACAAAAGAACAAACAAAGAAAATCAACTTTCTTTTGTCTTCATCTATTTTTATTCCCTAAATGTATTGTTTTTTTTTTTTACTTTATCCATGCCTATGTCGCAGTGTGAACCTGTTCTAAAAACGTCAGCTCTTCTCGTTCTAAATCAACTCTTTAAGGCATTCATTGAATTATTCCATACAAAGGTAGCTCACATAACAGGTGCTACTTATTAGGGTTAGTGTCCATACAACCATGAGAATTTGTAACATCGAGTGGAAACACTAAAATGATGAAAAACTTTATGGGTATTTAAATAGCACTGAATTGTAGTGAATTAGAGAGGTTTTCATAAACCCGTAAAACAAAGTGTAATAATTAGAGTGTAATAGATCGTAATAGTCTCGTAGCGGACAATAAAAAACAAAAGAGCCAAAGTGTAACAGCGATAAATACGCTAAAGTGTGTTTCATGGGTTAATGAAAACCACTCTATGCGTATTCCTTTGTATAATCTATACCAATTTGCGATATTTTATTTAGCACTGTTTCAATAGTGCCGGTGCCCGCTGCACTGTGAGCATAAGATCAAAAAAGACTTACGGATGAAAATGATGAAGATAAAAGGAAGTTGTTTTTCTGTTTATTCTGGTCTTGTGTTTAAAAATAGCTCAATATGTACTTCATTCACACCGATCTAACGTAGTCTAAATGGACAGATCCCAATAGTCTAAATTTAGACCACCAGGCAGTGCCCACTCAGGAAGGTCTTCCCTGCCTTCCAGCAAAGCAACCGCTCCTTTGTTTCAAAATCAACCAATCGGAGTGCCGTATCTTGCCGTGTTGGGGTTTTTCCGAATGCAGACATTTTGTTTCTCGCTTTCATTCACGATGCGACGCGTTATTAAAAAGTCTAAAATTAAAACAACTGTTTATTATCCTGGGGGTCGTAAAAAGAAGATAAGTGCTCCATTGACGGTCGAAAGTAAAGGACAGGACACTAGCAATGTTTCTTCGTTGGAAGATCAACCAGAATTGTTTATAGAAAACGTATGCAGTAGTCAACTGCAAGGTCAAAGCGACAAACCAAGAGATTACTTTCGAACTTCAAATCGCTTTGCTAACTGGACGAAGGTCAGTGAAGACCTCTTCAAAGCTTTCGTCGAAAGCGAGGTAATATCAGGACAAGCATGTCGAGTATGCTCAAACGCAACAGCCACTATACGCTGTGTTGAGTGTGGACCAGGATGGTATTTTTGCCGTGACTGTGCCACTGAATCGCACAGGTTTATAAACCAGTTACATGTGCTTGATTTGTGGCAGGTGAGTAAATAATCACTACCTCTAATTTGATAATGTATATCAGGCTTTGTTATAGCTAATTTGAACTTATTATGTGCTTTTAGGATACAAGCTTTATTCCCCTCTATCCAGATCATGGCGTCCTCGGATATGGACACGACTGCCCTACTAAAATAAAAAAATTGTTTACTCTAATCGACATTTATGGTAAGTAATATCATTTTATCAGAGTACAACCTTTACTTTATTTTCAAAAGTTTACTTTGGGAATTCCCTCATTGCTACTGTATTCATTGCTACTGTATTCAGTAAAAATTGTTTATTTCTCACTTTAATTAAGCTTATTTGTCTTCCCATGCTCCCTTTGGGTCACTGCTGTTTTCTAGCAAATCTTAGGGATTTTTACCATAGCAAAAATATAAATGAGATTTGATCAGTAAGGAAAGGTTTAAAAACAGGAATACCAATACATAGTAGATGTCAATCTTAAAGTTTGTCATAATTGCTTATTTTGTTTTAGGACGTCATCACTTGAAATATGTTGAGGTTTGTAGTTGCGAGAGTAATGCAGCTACTCTGATACGCTTAAATTTCTGGCCAGGTTCGCCTGAAAAACCAACCATAGCTTTTCACATGCCTCTTATGAGGCTGTGTGAAAAGCTATTTCTGCAGTGCCAGGTGTCGTTGTTTCACTTCGCAGAATTGTTAAAAGCTCTACTCCCTCCTCTACATCCGACGCTAGTAAGTGTTTATAGTCTACTTTAACAGTGTTTTTCATTGAAAATCAAATACAAATATAAAATACTGATGTACACAATAATTACAGTGACTTTCTAATGATAATTTTTGTCAATAATAAAGTACCAGTTAATCCAACAAGCTTTTTTGAAATAGTTCTATACTTTGTACCAGTTATACTTTGTACCAGTAAATCTATTCAGCTAAATATTTGATCTTATTGGATTAAAAAATGAATAAATTTATAGGGTTCTTTACTTACTATAGGTAACTGTGTAATTTGACTTTCCTTGTGAGACAGTACATGACTGTATGTAAACTGATTTCTAATGCAATGTTTTCAAATTTCTAGATTGTATCTCTTTATAGTGTTTTAAACTCTGGCTGCTTTGAGGAGTTCAGGTATACTCAATATTATGTTCTATTGATCTTCAAATTACAATACAAAGCAGCACTCTTTTTGTCATAACCAGGCAATTCTCCTATCAGTGTCATTACATGTCAAAACAATGTGAAGATTTTGATAATGGATCCATATGCCCATTATGTCCTGAGGTTTGTTAAAAATTATTAATACATGTACACAATGAATATGTCTAATACATGAAGTCCTATGTCTGAACTAATGCATAGTACACTTTTGTAGGACAATGGTACTTTGATCGAAAGTATGGATGCCTGTATGGGACTCGCTCGGAAAAAATCAAAAGGAACAAGTCAAAGGGGACAAATGCGTCATTCTTTCCTATTCTTTAGTGATCAAAGTGATGTAGATGCATTTGTTGATGGCTACTCAAATGAAGGAGCAGACATTGAAAAGGTATATTTGTCTTTGATGCATACATATCAAGGAGTGGGGAGAGTAATGATTAGTGCCATCCAGCAGATACAACCTAAAATATTAAGAACTTGTGCTATAGAGAGTGTACCTGTTAGCTTGTCTAGGTTTGGCTGTTTAGTTGTTTATTCCACTCGGTTGTTTTTACACCATATTTTAAAGATTTTGATTTTGTTGGATGACAAGTAAGTGACGTTTCATAAATTCATTACAATATCCTCTTAGATACATGTTGTGTATCATAGAATCAAGGAAAAAGAAATACAATTCATATTTCAAGTATTTTTATGATTTTCAGGACTGCAGTAGATTCCACGCTGGCGAAGTGCTGACTGCTCTTCGATCAAAAGGCAAGAACAAGCTATTTGATGAGAAAGGCGTATTTGGAAGAGTTTGTCGACATGACTACCCTAAGGGATTTTTGAATCTCAAATACGGTGAAAGGTTAGTTTATGTTGTCACATGAAGTGTCTGAGTAGATCATACATTTATGAAGTTGACATACATGTAATGATACTGTTGATTTCAGGATCTCCTACTCAATTTATGAGTTGACCAAACTAAAAAGCCAAATTGCGGGGAAAAATCTGTCCCTTTTTCTGATGTATGACATAGCATGTATTCTTGATAAACATATTAAGGTAACTAGTATATGATCATACTACTTTTTCCTTAGTTTATATTTTTGTTGTAGCTCTGAATTAAATTTATACATTCCTTTTCTTACAGGGTACCAATCAAGGCAACCTTTTAGATGGTGTTGACCTGGCAATACCAATATTTCACTGTTATGGTCATAAGGCTTCTTGTCAGGTTTACATTCAGATCAATTATGTGAAATTAACAGTGCTGATTGTTTATAACATTTGTACTTCAATGCAAGACTTGAAACCAAATAGAAAGATAATTTGTAGTTTAGTTTGATAATTGTATTGCCAATAGTAAGTAATGGTGCCATACATGTCTATATTTATTCCACACAATCATTATTATATTTCTAGGTGAAGTACAACCCAAGACGAAAAGAAGGACTAGGACTCACTGATGGAGAAGGAGTAGAGCGTCTCTGGGCATTTCTAAGGGATTTCTCAAGAATGACCAAGGAAATGTCTGCAGATAAAAGAACAGATGTTCTAACCGATGCCCTTCTCTACTATGGAGTAAAGCTAAGAAAGAAATTTGGTAAAGCACTAATAATTTATAATCATTGTATAGCTACTTCATTTGTTAAACATGATTTTCATAATAATAATTGATGTTATTTTTTTACTTTATTGATTTTTAATTTATTTCAATCTGTACCTTCTTACTAGGTATATGTACATGTATGAAGCACATGTATAATTAATTATTTTACTTGACTTAAAGGATTTTCACTCAAAGCAAAATTAAAAAGAGCAGAATGTCTTTTAGTAAGCACCAATGACAAGATCAAGGAGCTGTCAAGTTCACTGCCAGGTGTGTAATACAAACATGAAGTTAACTCTGACATTTATTCTACAAAAACATCTTTGTCTTTACACATTTAATATTTCATTCTAATTCAGGTATCTCAATTCTGTGTAGTGTAACTTGCTAAAAAAAAAACAAGATCGTATTATGTCACTGACAGTATTTCATGTAACTTAAGTTGGTTGAATTTCAGTACCCTGTCAAGTACATCATATCAAAGAATGGCAATCAGCTGAATTGGCCTCCATCACCCCAAAGGAGAAAGGTGTTGTACACGTCTTTAGTTATGAAGTACTTATAATTATTGCTAGATTTTTTACAACTGTAGTTGTTTGTGTTACCGCTTAAGGAACTAGGTTTTTAAAGCGTTCTTTCATTTATATGCATTCAGCTTATTTTTAATACTTCAGTGTTGGAGCTGAATTGGCAAGAGCAGTATGTGGATCTACTAATGGAAAACAAAAGACTTAGGTATAGTTCTTATTGAGGAACTTACATGCATATATCAGGAATCAACATAGAAAGTTCATAGGAATTAGCATGAAATATCTAACAACAAAGGAGGTGTTTCCTTTATCACACAAATATCAGAGTTGCATTGCCCAGCCATTTTCTTTGTTTTTTATCCTTTTTTATAAATCCCATCTTTGCTTGTTATAACTTTTGTAAAAATAAAACAATCTTATTTTTTGTAGAAAGTAAAAAGTGAGGAAAACCAAATTTTAAGAGTGATTAGTAATGGTTATTTTGTATCACTTTGTTCAGAAATCAACTTATTTATGCAAATGATGAAGATCACAATAATGTTGAAGAAATTAGAAAAAAGAAACAAAGGTAATAAAAATGCAAAAGGCTTTTAGCTTTTTTAGCACTTGACTACATGTATTTCTGAAAAATAATTAATTCTCCAATTTTATTATCAATTATTAACTTTTTCAGGAATGAAAAAGCTGTTTCTGCCATCGAAAGAAAAAACAACGTTAAATCAAGATGGGAGGAAACTCAACCCCAATTTATTTCAGCCAGGAAGAATCTGCAGAACAAGAGAAGAGAAATCTTCAAGCTGAAGATGCAGAGAATGGCATCTGAGAGAATGTTTCTTTTAGAAATGAAAAAGAAATATGCAGGTTAGCAAAAAAGCAATACAGTCTTTATATCACCATTCTGTCTCACCATGTCCTCCCTTTGTTTTCTCATTTGACCATAGCTAATTAAAACACATCCTTAAAATTTTAACTTTAACAGTTTTGAACAGAGCAGGTATTATTGTGGTATTGTTAATCCAGTAGCCTAATCTATACTATTCTTTTTAACAGATGGGCAAAGTATAGCCATAAAGCTGAGCAAGCAGATTACCAAAGTTACAGAAATGCTGAAGAGATGTCTTTTTTCTTATAATGAATTGGGTGACACTTTGCTGTTTGAGGCTGTCAAAGATCCCAGTAGTCCATGCTATGGTCAAAGTGCTGGACCAACAATGCCTGACTCCTGTAAACAACAGCTGATTGACATGTTATGTCTCAAGGAGAGATGCCTTGAGGAAATTGCTTTTGTGAAACAAGAAATGATACAACTATTGTCATTTTACTTTAACCAAATTAATGTTTTATCTGCAAGCATGTGCTTACTATCAGATGACAACCTGTATAACAAAGGAATGAAAGCCCTTTTTGCCCAAAAAGTACTAAGTTTGAGATTGACAACAAGCAGTCTGATAAAGTTGTGGGAGGGTCTCAATGTTGTACCATATTGTACAGAAGCAGTGTTGTCTTGGACAACTTTGGGTAATGTTCCTCCCCTTAAGAATACTGAAGATGTGCTTGATGATGATGAATTCTACAGTGATGTTACAATATTTGATGATTGTGGAGTTGAAGAAGATGATTATGAGGATGCGGATGAATAGCGTACCCTGGGGAAAAAAACTAACATGTATTTTATTATTGACCAATATAATTACTAGTACAAAAATAAGTGAAAGTTTAAGTAGCATTTTGTGATAATTATTTCACATAATTAGTGTGCCACTCAAAGAAACTCTTTGAACGTCATAGTGCTCACATTTTACTCTCTTTCTATCAGAGAGCCATTTTAATAATAATTCTTGTAATTTATAGCACTTTCAATAATAATCGATTGATTGACTACTGATAAATAAAACTCTGCAAAAATCAAAATAAATGAATGGAATCTTTAGAGTTGCTTACTGTATATTATTAGTTATTTTTTATCTCCAATTCGATTACATATGACTGTTAAAGAACTGACGGGAAAAAGTAATGTCAGATATCATGTTTTATATTGTTTCAATGTTCTTCATAAACTAGCACAAACTAAATGGTTTATTTTCTGTAACGGTCATATGATGTAATTGGTGAACGTATTCACAAAATGCAACTGAACCCTTTTACGTTTACCATGCGCAAATTTTTGCGCAAATATGAGTGAAAAAAGTTTGCTTGTTTGTTTTTGTTTTTCTCAAATGCATTTGAAAATTAAACCAAAGTATGTTAGCTTGAAAACCGAAACAGAAAAAAAAGATATGATTCTATCCCTTTTATTGAAAACGAGCAATGCGAAATTCAAAATCAAGAATTTTCAAGGGAAATTGCTATTAATTGCTGTAATCTGCAATCTATTTAATCCACGCCCGGCTTATTCCGATTTTGCATGGCGCTGTAAAAAAATATATATATATATATGTATAAAATACGGGTCCATACACATTAAATTTAGCGTTTGATAAACGTTACAACATTTATATTGAAAGCAATATCGGTCGCGCACGCATACGCGCATAGCATGCCTGAAGTGTATTAAAATACACTTAAAAAGCTCGTGTCACGAAGTAAAAAAAACAACAACAACAATCTAAATGTACTATACTACGCCACCTAAATATCTAAAGTGGTATTTGCATTTTATCATCAGCAGATTTCAAATAAAAACATATTCTTGCTAACATACAAATCTGAACATTTTAACGAGATTAGCATACAAAATCAAAATTAGCACTACTCTATAAAGATCATTTTTGCGTTATTAAAGTAAAATGGACTTGTTTTTTTGTTTGTGCTAGGAGAGGAAATGCATTCTTAAGGTACTGATTGAGTTTGTTTCTTATCTTATTAGAAATTTCAAGATTTTTACCAAAAAAGAAAGTTCCATAGTGTCCTCCGTCTAAGCCGTGTTATGTACATATTKTGTTACAAGGCCTTGTGCATGCAGCTCTTGACGCAGTTAAACAAAAATAATCTTTCGTTTAAAACGCATCTTAAAATTTGTTTGTGGAAATCAAAATGGTCAGAATTGTTTTTTGGCATCCTTAACATACTTCACTTTCTTTAAAGGCAAAATTGGTTACAATTGAGAGATTTTGCCATTACCAGAAACATTTGAATCAAAATTAGCACAGGAAAAAAACGAAATTAGCACAAGTGCATTTACGGCTAGTTTCTCATTGTATTTTAACATTTTAAAACTTAAAGTCCAACCTTGCTAGAAGAAACAAATATATATAATAAAGAAACACTGAATTACAATAATTAAGGTCGTCAGTACGGTTATAGAATATTTGTCATTTGTAATAAAGCATTTGCTGTAAGTGCACATCGTCCGGCCGCTGTCAAAAAGAATTAAATTGTTCCAATTCAGTAATAGGTTCAGCAACTTTCATTCTTCCACATTTTCTTCAGTCTCAGCTTTCCGTCTATTGATCTCGACGGTCTCTCTCGACGTTTAATTAATAGCAGTACTATTTTTGTTAGACGTAGCTAGTTTTAAACCATCACTATATAGTATCCATTCGACTGCACAATGAACTACTATGAACTTTTGCGTTAGCCGGAATACAACAACAGAACGAATTCCCTACAATACAAAAACCAGTACTTCGCATCCATTGGGGTATGGTTGAAGAAAACGTTTATTCAGATAGCTATCAGTAGTATAGTACTCAACGAAATATGGAAATGTATACCGTCCCATGATTCCTCATGTTTCCTTTCATTTCGGCCACGATGTTTTTCAACTACAGACCAAACTTTGAGTATAGCGATCTTCTGGGTCAAATAAGAGCAGAAAGAAGAGTTGCGCAGGAAATGTCTCTTGATTCTCGAGCCAAACTCTTAGAAAATATGGAAAATTTATTGCAATTTTTTCATCAAGGTGGGTACACCAAAACAGTGGACGATTTGAAAGCCACAAATGGCGACTCGATAGAAGTCATCAGAATGAAGATGAAAAATGAGTCGGAAAAGATTCTATCTGCCTTAGAAAGTGGTCCTTCCGGCAGTTATGGTCGTAGTCAGAACCCTGAACAGATAGAGAAGCCTAAAAGGGTAAAAAAGATATACAAATACACATGTCAGGTACGCCTTCAGTATTTTTGTCCGTCTCTATGGCAACGAGTCGGTAAGCATCTTGTTATCAATCCACTTTTTCAGATTTGCGCAAAGGAATTTAGACACTTGAAAAATCATCTGAAGTTCAAACACCAGATGTCAGAAGAGGAAATTGAAAAACTTAGATTGCAAACAAAGAAGGACAACTTAAGGTATTCAGACATAAATATTAATTTTTTTAATCATTTACCAGAACTCTTGATTTAAAAGGTACAAACAAACAAGCGAAACTATTTTAATTTGTTAGTTACTTTTCATCTGCATGTCAGAGTACTTTATATCCATGAAATAATATCTAAATAGTTAATACCTAATAGTTATCATTCATCTACTATTAGTGACTATTAGTCAACTAAAACAGCCTAAATAACAATATGTACCATACACAAGGGAAATTTAAAAACTCAAAAATTTGAGAACACAATCATGTAGTCACGTCTTATATAAAATAAGAATTATTGGGTAATTAAGCTATTTAGATTTTATTTCATGGACATAGTGTTCACACATACCAATATGAATGTGTCTCCAACACAAAGTATTAATTAATCTTTGCTTGACATGTGTTAGGAAAAAACAGTCTTGCAAGAGACCATTGAAACAATGTCCAGTAAAATCATGTGGATGGGAAGGCCGGCGTCTGGATTATCACTTGCCATTCAAGCACAAGATTAAAAAAGGATCAAAAAAATACCAGTCTTTATTAACTACTTGGGTTCAAATCTAAAAATATGCATAATATTATTATTATTATTATTATTATAATCTAATATATTTAGAACTAACTAGTACAAAAGCCTGACTGTTTGAATTTCTAAAAAAACTGGCATAACCATTAATCTATCATTTTTTGCTATAAATTTGGTATTTATATTAAATATATTTTCTCACATATCAGACCTAACCTATATTTGCAGTTAGTGTTCTTAATGTTATTGTTATCATTTTTAAAATCCAAAACTTGCTATTGATCTGGACACATATTTAACAAGGACATACTGAGGTAAATATAATGCTGTTATAATCACAGCACACAAGGTGCATATGTTTTAGGACTTCTATGCAAGTTTATCTAAATAAACCATAATGAATTTTTTTTTTCTTTTTTTATAGGAATAGCATTACTTAATATTATAATGTAACACATTATTACAAAATAATGTTGGCTAATGAGCTACAGGAATTTATTAATTCTATTGATTTTCATAAAAAAATACTAATATTGTACTGTATTATATTATTGATCAAACATCTAAGTGTATTCAACACTTTGGGATTGCTTTGATAGAAATTAACTTTATCTACTATGAGAATACCTTTCACTTTCAACTTAACTACATCAAAATATTACTGTTGTCTATAGCTGTAGTATTCATAAATAGCCCTGTTGAGTAAGAATGTGGTTGATGGCATTCACCATATCAATTGGTGGTCTATAAGTGAGATCATGAGCATCTCTATTCCATTGATGGTAAACAATGCCACCTAGACTACTTTTGATGATGCTTTTGACTGCTATAGACGCCCTTGCCTTTTGTAAGCTGTACTGGCCACTTATTGGGTCAAGATCAAACCAATGCCCACTTATACGCGAGGAAGGCTTCTTTTTGGCCATTTCAACGATTTTGGCTGGACTTTCGTTGCAAAAGAAAAGCCAGAATGGATTTTCTGTGGTGTATGTTGGTAGAATCAAATCACTTATGACTTTACTATGACTCAAGTTCAAACAAACTGAGAGTGTAGCATCCTTTGTGAAATACTTTTCACACATGTGCAACTTGAAGTTAAGGTCTTGAGGCATTGCAAGGTCAACTACTTCAACTTCATACTCGTCAATAAGGCTGTTGCCATCTGTGAGTGCACGGTTGGCGACTTCTTTGCCAACAATAGCCTCTAGCACTGTCCTGACATCTGCAATATCCACGTCTGATTCAATTTCTGGAGCTGCTTCCTCCATTTCATCTTTGAAAACAAACTTAATATCATGAGACTTTTTCATGATTGCTTGTATTTGCTTTGAGCCATAGAAACAGGGCCTCTTTAATGCAATGCCTTCAGGCATCCCCGCAGCTTTAAAGTTGTCCCGTTTCCATGGCACTTCGCCACAACAATGACCCACAAGTTCACCTGAAAAAAAGCAAGTTTTTAATGATTTGAAAAATATAATTACATTGACAGAAATAGTCAGTATTCAAATACAGCACAAGGAAAAAGTCAGGCTTTTGAGTGTGTACAGATGGATTTCTTAGATGACACCTTAATAATATGGCTACTTTTGTCCTTCAAATAAGAGTGACCATAAAAAATAAATGCTAAATTCGAAGTAATCATGATAACAAATGGTTATTTATTTTATCTCAATTTATAAATACATGTCCGTATCATTCTACAACCTGTACGAAGATGCAGATTGGTGAAAAGTGAGACTTAATTATAATATTCAGACTAATATATAATGATGATATATCATATAATAGGCCAAATTGACACAGTCTTTAAAGAAAATACAATTACTCATTAACTGTAATATTAATGACGTGATTGTTAAGACATTTTCAGGGTTTCATGAATTTTGATGAATTCACTAAATGTAGGATTCAATTGATTCTGAATAAGTATCATCACTTACTGTATTTCTTTTGAAATAGCTGAGTCAGGTCTTTTTCAGTATATCTTTGTGGTTGCTCAGGGCATGCTGAAAGAAAATGGAGACATATTTCAGTAAATAAAAGGTAACCAATTGCAATGTACATTGGTGTTCACTTGCACCACATTACATTATTAAAGTAAATGTCAATAATGCATACTCTGTAGAGTTAAGCACTAAATGTGTGCACACTTAAGTTAAATGTATTTGACGCCATTTACAAATACAAAATTTTAGAAAATTTGTGGTATATTTACACAGCATTCATTTAGCACTTATACTCTGACTTATTAAATTCTTGCAAATTTCTTACCAAAATGTTTTCTAAACTTTAGGTCTATGTCCGAATTGTTACTTAAAAAATTGAGTCCTGCTGTTGAGCCCAAACAGCAAACCTCTCCTGTCGGTAGAAGCATCACGCCTGCGATTTCTCCTCCAATTTGCTCAATAAACTCGACCTAAAAGTTCATAGGGACAAACATTATTTATACTAAGCAAAACTTAGCAAATTACTTTATTAGCTAGTGTATAAATTTCTTATAACAACAGACACAGTACATAGTTTATAAAATTCTGCATATCTTTGTTTAAATTCTTGGCAATTCTGAGTTGACTTATATGCCATTCTATTGTATTATCATTCTTCTTTCAATTATGAAATTACTAACCTCTTTTACTATCTGCTTTAGATGAGTCTTGATRAGTTTAGATTTTTCTTCTGTGTTCAGTTTTTGGGGATCAATATTTGATGATTCCTTGGCTTTCTTATTTATCTCTTCTTTTTCTTCGTCTGTCAATTCTCTCCAAGCTGTTGCTGCTGCTTTGTTTTTCAACGACTGAGAAGTTATCATAGTCTCTGAAAAATAAAAATAAAAAAATAACTCAAACTATGGAACAAGCAGGAAGCTTCTCCTAAATTTTATAGACAATACATTTATTTTTAAAAATAGGATCATTGATACTGAGATTTAGTGAAATGCATTTGAGTGAATGCAACCATTTGAAGCAAAAATATGAAGGTGCCTGGAAAACGTCCTTTTTGAAAAGTGGGTCCTCGTCAGAAATTCTGCAAATGACCTCTAAAAGGGACCTGCGATCTTCTGCAAAATAAATGTGTCACTTTCTCCCCAACCACAGATACAAAGTTGTGTGGATGCCTCCGCTAAGTATTCCGTGAAATCATGACTTTTGTAGCGCGAAATCAACATTGCTGGGGGAAAAGATGTAAGAAATCGACGTGACTTGAAGGAGATTGCGATTTGTGATATGATGCCTATTATTAATAATAATTTTAATTCGATTTCCTCGTTTATTTCTTTTTTGAATAACACTAGCATCAAACTSTGTGTGCTCATATGAGTTAATAATTCTATACTGCTTAGTGTCATCCTTTGATCCTATTTGAAAAGAGCTGGCCACACAAAAAAAATCGCTTGAGGAAACCTGGAAATTTTCTTTCAAATGGAAGTAAGCTTAAGTTACTTATTTAATGCGAAATGATTTTAATTATTAATGAAGCTTTATCTGTTGATACTTTATGTGTTCAAATGTATTCAATGTCTATAAATTTACAAACATTTAACTTAATTGTGAGTTTATAATACCTGACTTGAAATATTCGGCACAAAAGCGGTTGTAGCCAGAGGCAGCCTTCCTGTAAGATGGTAGTTTGATCTTTTTGGATGGTTCTGGCTGATCTTCATCAATTTGATGGCTTTCTTTTTTTCTTTTCGCAGTAAAATTACCAATCCATTTCTGCATTTTAAATAAGATTTCGATTATTTTAAAGTACAACAATATAAATCGAAAGTATACAACGCACAGTTATCATCGCCGAACTCGATCTGCAATGCATTGTGGGATCAATTTGTGAAGAAGCATGACGTAAGCTTCAGAAATCTACACCGCGTTAAGGAATTTCCGTCGACCCAAACAAAGTTGAATAAGTAAAGGTCCTATAACATGCAGTTAAATCTATTAAACTAGCCAAAAGAGAGATACATTAATTTGTGCATTCAGTTCAATTCCAGAGAGGGGTGTTTTATTCACATCCGCGCGCAACGCTTCTTTCCTCTACAAAGCATAAAAACCTGCCAAACGACGGTCGCTTTATTACTTTTGATGATCAGAACTCAAATACACCACGCCACTATGTTACGGTCGACTGCATTAAGAAATATAGGTTAGAGTTTTTTAAAAATCGAAGACTGAAGATTGACTACCCAGCGCCATCGCTCCAAGTTTAAAATGTGAGCAACAGGAGTTTTATATATAGTTCGTTGGTCTATAGTAGCACGACGGTTGTACTTTGAGTGCCACAAACAAGTTCTTTTACTCTATAATTTGCATTTTGGCCAGTGACGATCTGCATCCTTTACGCGTTTAATTGAACTATTATTAACTAAACATGCCTTTGTTCCGGGCTTTGTCTAAGGTTATCAAACTATTAGAGTTGACCTCTCAACAAAAACGAAGAAACGTGAGGCACTTAAGAAACAGCGCATCCACATCTTAAGTTTATCAAATATGATATTTAAAAGAAGACAATTTATTTATATTTAACCGTAATCAAAACCGCATGCTATCACAACGGGATTGCGCTAAACAATTACAAAATGATATCAACAAACGCAGCTTACCTTGACTTGCTCCGTAGTAAGACCAGTTTCTTTCGAACATTCCTCGATAAGCTTTAAATATCGAGCACCTTTGCTAACCATTCCGTAATCATCATAATACTTCTTCAAAGTCTCTCTTTGTTTGTCAGTAATTTTGCGATAAGTTACTTGTCGTTCAGCCATAGCGTCGAAACAGTGAGAACAGAAACTACTACACACGAGCCGCTCTTTTTAGATTACACGATTGGTTGATTTTGAAACAAAGGAGCGGTTGCTTTGCTGGAAGGCAGGGAAGACCTTCCTGAGTGGGCACTGCCTGGTGGTCTAAATTTAGACTATTGGGATCTGTCCATTTAGACTACGTTAGATYGGTGTCATTCAAGTTTCTTTCTCGGCTTGAAGCCGACACGACCATAGCAACAAGAACCACTTCGTGACACATACCGAGTCCAGGTTACTCTTATATATACTTTTACCAGCGCCGCGATCGATTTGATAGATTTTGCTTATGATCTTTTCACATTTTTTTGGATATATTTTATCATTGCAGCGAAAATTTTGCATTCGTATTATCCTCAGAGAATATACTATAGGATGAAAGTTTGCTTTACATAAAATGATTTTAGAAAGAAAAAAAATAACGAGTATATTTTAAAGGTAAAGAAAGAAAGAAAGAAAGAAAGAAAGAAAGAAAGAAAGAAAGAAAAAAAAAATTGAAGCTGCTCGATCGAGTCGAACCCGAGAGCGTCAGTTCAACGCCGCTATTCAAGAATGATCTTGCATGTAAAATATGTTAAACAAATATCTAAAGGAACAATAAGAATCAGTATATATTTTAGTAAAAAAAAGAAAAAGAAAGAAGGAAAGAAAAAAATCGCTGAGAAGCGATCGAGACGAGAATTGAACCTGCGATCCTAAGTTCGACTCTATTCGAGTATAATATTATGTGTTAAATCAAAATAATGGCTCGAAAATAATTATTAAACAAAATCTACAGAAATATTTCAAGATAACTATAAAAACTATATTTTATTAAAAAAAGAGAAAAAGAAAAAAAATCTGCTATCTTGATACGAGGTTCGAACGCGATCCTTCGTTCTACGGCGTTGTTCGAGTATCATCTTGTTTCTAAAATATAATAAACGCGGCTCGTAAATATTAATAAAAATAAAACATGACTAGAACTCTGGACTATAATTTTAGTAAAAAAGAAAGAAAGAAAAAAGAAAGAATTTTTCAGAGGTGAGGACCGAACCTTGRAACTCTGGWTTAWGGGTCCCTTGGGATTGCTAAACTTCGACGTGACCGTGGCCTGGACACGGTAATGAAAATAATCAACTGGTTAAAGACAAACGAATAACAGTACTGTTTCCTTATTTCCTCTAAACTGGTGTTTTCCTYTTTCCCCAGAYATGRAATTGTACTCRAAAAAACTCAAGAAAACCATACTAAAGCAAACAGAACTTGARCTACAGCCCAAAGGAATAATACAATCAATGAAAACTGATGATATTTTTACGAACTTGATTGTTCACCATGGGAAAAAAAGATGCCCAGAACTTTTGCCAGAACAAATTCAAAGACCTCATGGATATCACCCTGATCGTAAGACGCTGACTGAAATCAAGCAATGTAGTGAGATTTTTGTTGACGA